TTTCGCTGGAGCGTAGACGAATGAGGGGAGATCTGATAGAGACTTTTAAAATTGTAAGAGGTCTATCGGGACTCAACCTAGATGACTTGTTTACGATTTCTCGTGCTCAAAACACGAGATGTCATAGCTATAAACTTCAACAGAACCACGCCATGCTAGAAGTACGGTCCAACTTCTTCGCATACAGGATCATACTTGTGTGGAACAAGTTACCTGCAGAAGTGGTCAACTGCGCCAATGTCAACACCTTCAAGGTGGCACTGGACGCATGTTGGTCAGAAACGTTCCCCGAAGTTAGCACTTAGACTGGGAACATTAAGAGTAAATTCTACTTCAGCCAGAAGTTGTGAAATGATGAGAACTTGTGTTTGAGTGTTGAAATTATTCTAAAAACCTAATTATCCTGTCACACGTAAGCTGTATACTAGCGCAAGTGTACTTGAGGTCTCTAACCAATGAGGCGATGAGATATCCTTGCTTGTTTTTCTCCCTTTCAGCATACCTCCAAGGAAACAACGTCCTGGACACGGGGTTGAAGTGTGAGGATCACAAATACCAAAATCAACTGTACGCAGTGTTGGAAGCTACTCCTATCCGATGACAACACAACGAACTGGACGCTCGATTGGCAAGAGCCATATTCGTCCTGTGCAAATGAACTGAACTAAACTGAACTGAACAGCTGTTTCTTTTTGTTATAAATCATTCGCCATATCCTTCACTTTCACCGGGAAACTTAAAACGGTGTGCTGCTTCAGGAAGCGCACGCTGCCAAAATCATAAAAACATCAAAAAACCGTACCAAAAAAATTTCAAAAAATTCCAAAACTTAAAAAATGGCTGTAGCAACGCAGCAGAACCAGAGTCTCCCACAAACGTCTCTGTATGTTGGTGACTTACATCCTCTTGTGTCGGAGTCACTGCTGTACACGAAGTTTGCTGAAATCGGCCATGTGCTAAGTGTTCGTCTGTGCCGTGACCTCGCGACCAGGAATTCCCTGGGCTATGGGTATGTGAACTTCGAAAACCCTAAAGATGGTACGTTTGCTATTCTGCGTTATATTCGATAATAGCGGAGCGCGCTTTGGAGGACCTAAACTACGAGTCTTTGATGGGCCGCCCCATACGCTTGATGTGGTCCCAGCGCGATCCGTCCCTCCGAAAATCTGGCAGAGGCAATATATTTATCAAGAACCTGGAAAAAGGAATTGAACAGAAAGAGTTGTACGACACCTTCGGGTTCTTTGGTAGGATTTTGTCATGCAAGGTGAGCCCCTTTATTTTCTTCTCGAAGTATTTAGATTGCAATGGATGACCATGGGAACTCCAAAGGATATGGATTTGTCCATTTCGAAAAGGAGGAATGCGCAGAGCGCGCAATTGAGAAGATCAACGGTATGCTAATACGGGATCGCGTTGTTTATGTGGGCAAATTCATACCCAGTTCGGACCGCAAGTCTACCTCGGGTAAGCAACGGTTCAACAATATCTACGTGAAGAATTTCCCGCCGGACACAACCGATGAGAAGCTGCGAGAGATGTTTTCCGAGTTCGGCGAAATCAAAAGTTGTTGCGTTGAGAAGGATGCAGAGGGCAAATCGAAAGGCTTTGGCTTTGTATGCTTTCATGATCCTGATCATGCCGAGCAGGCCGTCAAGACCATGCACGGTAAGGAGATCAACGGCAGGGCTTTGTATGCCAATCGTGCTCAAAGGAAGGAGGAAAGACAGGAAGAGATAAAGCAGCGGCTGGAGAAACAGCGTTCGGAACGTCAATCGAAGTACGTTTCCGGTGTAAATCTTTATGTCAAAAATTTGGATGATAATATTGACGATGAGGAGCTAAAGAAAACGTTCTGTAAATACGGTCCCATCACGAGCGCGAAGGTCATGACCGATGCCAACGGTCGTTCGAAAGGTTTCGGCTTTGTCTGCTTCACACAACCAGATCAAGCGGCACGTGCGGTAACCGAGATGAATGCAACTTTGGTTGGCTCGAAGCCCCTTTATGTAGCTCTTGCACAACGGAAGGAAGATAGGCGTGCCAAGCTGATTGCAGAACACCAACAGCGTATGGCGCAGTACAGGAATAGCACTCAGATGATGTCGACCGCCGCCGCTCATGCACCTGCCCCAAGCTACATCCCACCGACTGCATTCCAGCAAGCGCAACGATACTACCCTACCAGTGCCGTGCTGAGTTCTCAACCACGTTGGAATCGAGCCGCTGGTCTCTCTGGTATGCCGACACAAATAGGAGGAGGTGTACCTGCACGCGCTCCCATACCAGGTCACTACTTAAGCGCCAACCCAGCTGCTGGCATGACTCCAAACCCAATGGCTGCTATGGCGCAGATGCGTACCGCAGGAGTGGGAAGGCCGATGGTCCCCAGTGGCATGCCGTCTATGCCCGGTGGCCCACATTTGCCTGCGTCAGCAATGATGAAT